ACTCGGCGACTATTACTTTACAGCTCGGCGGCTGTCACAGTACAACTGACTGGTTGCTGGCTAACTCGGAACTAACGTAGCTCGAGGACTGACTCGTAGGTAGCTCCAGGACTCCCTGTGAATAGCCTTCGCTGCCCCTCATGTAGCCTCGATCGGACAATACAGAAAACGGCCACGTAATAAGTACCCTTGTTGCCTGGCGCTGTGTTGCTAGCAACGCTAGAGGTAGTAACCGCTGTTACTACCGTCGTCTCTTGCAACCCTGTTCCGTCACCGTTACGTTACCATGCGGAGGAGGGGGAGGGAGCGCTGACTCACCCACCACGTCACTGCTGGTGGGGGGGGTTCTCCTTTGCGCAACATGTCACAATATATATATATAAAAACACATACATACTGTATTTAATTTTTGTTTAGTCCGACAAGCAGCGGTTGCTCGCTCGATATAGTTCGTATGCTGACTGAAACCATGGAGTTTTTGTGTGTGTGTAATGTAGATCTCAGTCTCCGCTGAACAGTGGCTTTTGAATTTAGTGTTCGCTTATTGTAAGGGAAGAGTTCATCATACTCTTGGTTGTTTAATTCCCTCTGCCGATTCCATCTGTCGAGTGTATGTTATGTATATTAGATAAAAGGTTTGTATTGATTGTACTTTAATCGTTCCTACAGAACCAAATAGCATCACAGCAGGCAATATATGTCAAGCAGCAACAACAGCAGCAACAGCAACATCATATGACACCTCAGGGCCCACAGCCAGACTTCTTCAAGCCCAACGTCCACGACCCACTGACTCAAATTCAGGCCAATTTTGGAGAACTGAACATCAAGGAGCCACCGGTACTCTGATTTAATTTCAGTGCTGAAAGGGAAACAAGGGAGATTCTCACACTTTGGTTTCACATTCTGTTGTAATTCTAGTAGTTTGATTGCCACAGGTATACACAGTTTTCTTTGATGAATTCTGTTGTCAGGTATATAACACCATGTAGTCCAGTCAAACACAACCAATGTTTTGGAAGAATATGTCGCTTTTGTCTTCAGGGCTAAATACATAACCAATCAAGAAACAGCATGAAGGAGACAGCAAGCAGACTGCTCAGGCCAGAAGATTGTAGCAGAGTGTTACCCTACATGGTGTTGTATTCCAGAATACAGAATTCTTCATAACCAATGCTGTGAGAACCTCAGATACTGCATTCAGTACATTATTTTCTTCTAGGCATCATTTCAATATGATACTGATTGAGAGGAGGAGCTGGGATAGCGTAGGCAGTATAGTGACTGACTACAGACTGGACAGTTGAGGAGTTGGAATTTCAGTTCCAGTGGGATCAATAGTATTCTCCACGTTGTCCAGACTGGCTCTTGGGCCCACCCGGCCTCCTGTCCAATGAGTACCAAGGACCCTTTCCCCTGGGGGTAAAGCGGCCAGGACATGAACCTTAGCACTCACTTCCAGCTAGTGCCAAAGTCAAGAAAATTTGGATCTATACATCCATTCTCTCCTACACCTTCGTTGTGTAGTGCTTTGTTAGTTAAGAATGGGGACAAATTTACCTTTAGGGCATGCTGTAATGTAGTTAGTTGAGGCACTGTGTTACAAGCCAGAAGGTTTTGGGTTCAATTCCTGATGAAGTGACTGGATTTTTCAATTAACCTAATGCTTCCGTCTGCACTATGGCTCTGGGTTCAACTCAGCCTCTAACAGAAATGAGTAAGAGGAATCTTCCTGGGGGTGAAGGGCAGCCAGTATGTAAGGCTGACAACCTCACCACCAACTGTGAGCCGATTGTCTAGAAAATGTGGGAGCCTTGAGGTCTCTCAACCTTATGGGTTTCCACGGCCTGTTAACATGGATAACTTTGCCCCCACCCCTTTTTTTTAATACACCAAATGAGAGACGAACATTTTCCAGTCTCTACTCTCTTCCCAGAATGTTTCCTTTTCAGTGTCTTGCCACCTTTCTCATTTGTTTTTGATATCTTCAATTGGCTAAAACGGGGACGCGGTAGCTTAGTGGTTCAGGCACTATGCTACAAGTCAGAAGGTCGCGGGCTCAAATACCAATGCGGTAATTGGATTTTTTCAATTGACCTAATCCATCTGCACTATGGCCCTGGGGTTCACTCAGCCTCTAACAGAAATGAATACCAGGAATTAAATCAGTAATTTTCCTGGGGAGTAAAGCGCGGTCAGTGCATAAGGCTGACAACCGTACCGCCTTCTTTGAGCCGATTGTCTAGATAATGTGAGACCCTCAACGTCTCACAACCCTATGAGCCTTCACGGCCCGTTACAGGGATAGCTTTACTTTTTTAATTTTATTGGCTAACCCAAAACTTGCAGGATGGCACTTTGAGCCCTCTCAGTAGGGTTCTGGAGGCTATTGCACAGAGGGATGTAGCTAGGGATACAAAACGCCCGCTAAAGAGTAGAGAGTTCCAGTGTAGTCAGAATTTAACAGTGGATTGTAAATTTTCTTTGCAGCAACCCACATTCCAGGGACAGCAGTCTCGCCTTACTCAGTGGAAGCTTCCGTTAATTGGTGACAAGGAAGGAGACAGTGGAAGTAACGAATTCAGCCGTGCACCTGGCACAACAACTAAACAGTCGATGCCTCAGAGTCACTCCTCCCCCAACATAAACCCACTCGGTTTGGGTCAGACAGATGCGTAAGTATGCACATGTATATACATATATAAAACCAAGGCTTGTTTCAATATTCTGTCCATATGGATGTTGGAGTCGGCATTATTGGTGCTTAACAGACAGCAGTGAGAGAGAACCTGTACTTCACTTGGCAGTGCAGTGTTCAGCCTTTACCGTTCACAAATTTCCATTCCATTTTCAGTGAAATCACAATTTAATGTCTTGATCATTGAAGGGGTGTCTGCAAACTGTAACTAGAGAAGGGAGTCATTTTGAAGGTCGTCCCCATCTGTTGCATTTGAGATGAGAATGTAACGTGTGGCGGCATATCAGTAAAGGGGATTATTGCGAAATGTACTTGGGGAAGAATGGAAAGTATGGTGGTAGGCCAGAATAATAACTTATTGAAATTTATATGGTTCTGTATTTATTTTGTAAGCTGGGAGATATCAGTCAATGTATTGATGGGCTAGAGGCCTCCGTAGTCTAGGGTTAACGTTCCCACCTCATGAGCCAAGGTACGCGGGTTCAAACCCGGCGGAGGTTGTGGAATTTTTAAGGGCGGAAAAATTCAGGGAAGAAGTCCTCCAGGAAGGACTTTAAGCCGTGGGTCCCATGTTGTAGATTTACGGCACGCAAAAGAACCTCATGCCTCTCGAAGGCCTCTGAGCTAAATTAGGCCAAATAGTTTCCAATGCCTCCTATAGATGGGGAAGTATTCCAATGCCTCCGATAGATGGGGAAGTATTAGGTACCACTGCCAGAGGAGGGATGACCTCACTGACAGAAAGGGACTAACTATTAGATACCATTGCCAAGTAGAGGGTAGAAACCTAGCTGGCAGAAAGGGGCTGATAGCGAGCACCAGTATCGGTAGGGGATGGAGACGGTAGAAATTAAAAAGGGGATGTACAATAGACTATCAGTTGCGGTGCATGGGGAAACCCACCCCCTCAATACTGAATCACTGAATAGTGATGGGCTGGAGGCTGGATGGCCTGGGTTCAGTTCCTGGCAAGTTTTCTTCTCAGTGTCCAGACAAGCTCTGCGGCCCACCTAGCCCCCTGTCCAGTGGATACACGGGGGGCTCTTTCCCTGGGAGTGAAGCTGACAGCTCACCTCCATCTAGTGCTGATGTCAAGAGTGGTGGAGCTACATCTGCATTCCCCAATATGACTTAATGGTGTGGTGCACAAAAGCCAGGGACAGCTTCACCATTTATCTGGGTGCCAAATCTGTCACAACTGTTTTGAAATTACAGTGGCTTTATGCTGGTTCTTGTGTGTTTAGGAGGATGTGGATAAATGTGTATGCACTGAACCCCTGCTATATCTGGTGACCCCAGCCAAAGTTCCATATGTATAATGTTTGAGTGAATGTTTCTTGATGAAGGGTTTTCCTCCATTTTACATACAAAACTTTGATTCTACGAGTGTTTTGGAGCTCATTTCATCAATGAATGGAATATTTTTGTCTGTTCCAACTCATGTGGCCACTCCAATGTATTTCAAGGTCATTAATTGTATATCATGTTGTGCGGTGTGCCTGTCTGTCCATTCTCTGTGCATCCTGTTTTTCAGTAGGAAATACTTACTGCTTGTTCTTTTTGCATTTCATTTCATGTTATAGATTTTTGGGAGTGATTTCAGAGTGACATTGAAAACGAAGTTTGCAATGAACGGGGAGGTGGAATTTAATTACGAGATGAAATCATGAATGGTTTTGTGATTCCTCCATCGCCATTATGTAACAATTCTGCTGAAAGCTTCATTTCTTGAGGAAGAAAATGAGTGTGGGGCATGTCCCAAAGAATGATAAAACTTTTTTTTAAGTGAAAATGAATAGGTACCATGTTCATTTAACTGAGATTAATAATTATTTGAGGTTCTGTTTGCCACAAAACAAGGCTTGTGCATTAAATTAGGGTTTCACTGTATCTGCTACTCAGTTTAGTATTAGGTGGAGGTGGGTTTTGTTATGGATGTTGCATGTCATACTCATTGCACCCATTCTGATGTAACTGTTGGAAGGTGATCATGGTGACGACGTTGGTATTATTCTTGTGTATAGTTTAAGGACTTTGAAGGGAAACTTGTTTTAAATACATTTTTGTGGCTGCTGTTGTAAGATGAGAAGTCAGTTGCTTCCTTTCTCTAATCACATAGTACATGGTCAACTGTGAGTCGCTCAAATTCGGATGGATGGCCAGAACCCAGCAATGATGGCGCAGGTCAGCCCGATAACAAAGATTCCTGGCCAGTGACCACACAGTCTAGTTCAGCTGCCTTCACAGATCTTGTTCCTGAATTTGAACCTGGAAAACCTTGGAAGGTAATTGTTTTGTCAGTTGAGGCATTTACATGTGCACGTGGTACATGTCAGCAAGTTTATATAAATAATGAAGAGGGGAAAATTTTTCCATATATAGATCTTGTTTGCATTTCTGATTTCATGTTTCAGGGGACTCAAATCAAGAGTGTGGAAGATGACCCCAGCATCACACCCGGATCAGTTGTTCGTTCTCCTTTATCTCTGGTCACGATTAAGGACACTGAAATATTCAATGCTAGTGGCAGTAAGACGTCACCAACTGTTAGCTCTGCAGTTGATACCACAATTCCTCCATTGAGTCTGCCGACATTGTCATCATCAACGTGGACCTTCAATCCTCCTGTCTCCACGCCTTCTTCATTCACAAGGTAAACACTGTCTGGATTTTAGTATCTCATGTGCTGTAGTGGGATAGTTATTGACTTCCATCACAGAGGCCAGGGTTTCATCTCTGGAGCTATCAGTGCAGGATTTATGGACAGTGGCATGGGTGTGGTTATTTCCCCAGTTACTTTGAGATTTCTGTGTGCCAGTCATCTTTCTACCAATGTCATACTTTTCCATCACTTAAGGCTGGTGCATTAGGCCCATTTGAGACCACAAAATGAAGAGACTTGGTCTCATGCTCCTAATCATCATCATCATCATCATGTGACAACAACAGCAGGTGTAATTATCAGGACTTTTATTATTATTATTATTATTACATTGCCTGACTACTGAAATTTTATTGCCATATTAAGAAATAGACATTCAGTATGCACACCATTTCTTTTGTCTTCATTGTTTACACATTTATGTGGGTTGCCTAGCAACAAAGCTTCTCTTTGTATCTCTTGTCTTCCCAAAGCATCTCCTCAGTTTGCCCCCATGTTTACCTCTGTGACTTTTCCTAACCTGTTGTTGCTGTGTTTATTTTGGTCTTGGTATTTTCACCTTGATTTTAATGTTCAAAACCTGCCCTACCATCTCCTTGTTTGGCGTGTTTATTTGTAATCCTTTGTCCATAAAGTTCCAAGACTGTTGTAATATCTTTGCTTAGGTAAATGTTGGAAATTCTAGGAAAACGTGTTCAAAATAGGTGACATTTTACGGCTTGCCCGTGTTATTGACATTAGTTCTCTTGACCTCCGCTAGCCGGCATGGCACGGCAGAAAACCCATGTCAATTGTCAGTTGCGGATTTGTGCTGTGGAAGAGTGAATGTTCAATTTGAACAGCAAGTTGACATCAAATTTTATGTGACACTGGGCAAGACAGCCACGTTGACATTGCAGCTTTTTGCATGATGCCTATGGCGATGTTTTATCTCGGGCGCGAGTGTTTGAGTGGCACAGGTGATTCGTGTCGGGCAGGGTGTTGGTAGAGGACGAGACAAGATCAGGCCAGCGTTCAAGTTCCTGGAATGAAGACAGGTTCACATCAGAGGCATAGTATGGGAAGACCGTACTGTTAACAGTGTGCATGTTAGCTGATGCCCTGAATATCAGTAAGTTGACCTGCCACAAAATTCTGCGAGAGGACTTCAGTGAACAAAAACTCAACGTCAGGCTATTCCAACACACGCTCACTCAGGATCAAAAGAAGGTGCAAGCTTCAGTTTGTGCTGATTTGTTACACAATGCGCAGAACGATTCCACGTTTGTCAACAGTGTCATTGCCGAGGATGAATCATGTTTCCAGTATGACCCTCAGACGAAGCATCGCAGTGCCAAATGGCGGTCAACGGGTTCTCCAGTGTCAAAGAATGTGAGGTGGCAGCCATCGAAAATAAAGACTATGATAATAGTTTTTTTATGCCAAGGGTATTGTTCATGACGAATTCTTTCCGCAAGGGCAAACTGTCAACCAAGAATTTTACATCTCCGCACCCAGGCATATGCGTGAGCTGCTTTGATATTATCTTCTTGACAGTGGACTTTGTTGCATAACAATGAGAGGCCAGATATGGCTCTAAGTGTCAACAGATGTCTTGCTAAACTCAACGTTATTGTGCTTCAGCATCCCCCATAGTTCCCTGACCCCTCTCCATGCGATTTTTTTTTTTTTTTTTTCCAAGATGCTGAAAGGGGGCAGAATGAGAATGTAGAGGCACTTGAAGCAGCTGCGACAGCTTACAGCCATTCTGAAAGAGGCATTCACCAGCTGCTTCCAGGACTTTCTAAAATGCTAGCAATTGTATTGACTGCGGAGGAGGACTACTTTGAGGGGGGGCAGGAACCATTATTTAATAAGTTGAATTTTATATTTTTTACATACCCAGACTTGGAACTTTATGGACAGAGGTATCTTTACTTTTTCTTTTAATTCTTTTGTTTATTGTTTTGTCCCTCTTGGTTTTTCCTTCAGTCCTTCTAAGAACCACATCTCAGCTCCTGTTACTTACAAATGTCTTTATTTGTCCGTCCACATTTTTCAGGTCCATACATTTAAATGGTCAAATAGTAATTTTTAAATAAACTTGTATTTCACATTCACATCATTAGTATTCATATTATTGCTTGTTGCTTAGTCCACTTGGCAAGTTGGGTGGTTCAAAGGGCACATGGGGTGAGGCACCCCCTCCAACTGTGGTAACTAGTGAGCTTTGGGGTGCTCCAATGGGCAAATCCCGAGGACCACCTCCTGGACTTTCGAACAAGAACGCACCTGGAAATGCTGGCACTGGTGGTAACAGTGGAGGTGTAAGTGGTGGTGGAAATAGTAGCAACGGTTGGGGCAGTGCTGCAGGATCTGGAGGTGGCAACAGCGGCGCAGCTGCCACTGTAACAGGGGGAGGTGGCCGATCAACCTCATGGGGCATCCAGGGTTCTGCTGCAGCCACCTGGGGGTCCACCTGGCTCCTGCTCAAGAATCTCACCCCACAGGTAAGAGGCATCATATGGCTATAATCACACATTGTTCTCTTCTCCCATTAATCACTGCTCCAAGATGTGTAGTGTAGGGAAATGTGTGATAATTCAGTAGTTAGTGTCCCTTGTTTCAGTTGTGAAAGTCTACATTTGAGACCATGTAATTGTTTGTTATATGCCATGTACTCCCTCTACGCATTCTAATAAAGGAGATACGTGAATAATCAAAAGGCAGGGATAGTCGTAGATATGGAGTGGAAATATACATACAGATTCCAGTTTGTCACATGAACTGCAAGACCTAGGAAGAAGGTGTATTGAACCAGAAATATATACTACATTTTTCACTGTAACTTCCGTTTGAATCATTTTTCACCGCAATAAATACTTAGCAAGTTACACTTAAATGCTAAAAAATGCATATAAAATGGTTTGTTAGAATTTCCTGTTCTAAATTAAAACCGAAATATCTTAAATTTTTATGAAGTTCACCATTATCGTATTTTGTGAAAATTTGTTCAGCATTGTCTTGAAATGATTCTGACGATGGTATATACTGTACTTTTGGCTTATTTTTGACTTCATCCATCGTCTGGTATGTAAAAGAAAAAAAACCACGACGTTTCGGAGACTGGATCTATCTCTGAAACATCGTGGTCTTTTGCCTTTTACATACCAGATGATGGATGAAGTCCAAAAGAAGTACATTTGTTCAGCAGTTCCCAAGTTGTTTCATGCTTACGGTTGGACAGACCACGCAGACATAATTTGTATAGCCATAGATGCTTTGCAGCATTACAGACCTAAAAACAGATTCAGAGAGAGAAAAACAGATGGTCTTCATTCAGATAATTAGGAGTGAGCTGTGTATGCAGGACCCTAATGAACTTGGCGTTTCTGTACACACTTCCTGTAGTTACAATATAAACGAAAAAGTTTACATTATTCCACGTAGGAATTATGTGTCAGAGCTAGCAGACATTACATTTTTGCTTTCTGAGTTTATTACCATCATTAATTTGAAATGTTTAACCATATGGAATATGTAATATTCCCTTCACCTGGCCTGCTGGCCCACTTGTTGCCAAGTTGGTGAACAGTGTAGTCATTGTAAGTTTTGAGGTTTTCACGGCGATGACAATGAAGAAAGTCGTCTTCTGGGTTTAGGCACGGTGTATTCTTCGTTTTGGCCGACGTTTAGGAGGAACGTAGCGCCTCCATCTTCAGAGCAGTTGANAGTCATTAATTGCCTTTACATTTAACACTCTCCTTTGATCAAACAAACCTCTCTTTTGGTGGTTTACTTACCCATTGATTTAGGGAATGCTTGTTCATAGGAATAGCCTCAGGGTGAATGATTTCAGAAGCCTTCGAGGGTAGAAAAATTTGGTTCATGTGGAAATGCACTATATCACTGAAAAATGTTATGGTAAAAGGAAAGTTGTTTCTTCTGTGGCATGAGGACATGGGGGGAATGGAGGTATAGCTCCACCATTCTTGACCTTAGTGCTAGATGGAAGTGAGTGGTCAGCTTCATACCTGTGCCTCTTTACCCCTGTTGAAAGAACCCCTGGTACATGTTGTGTAGGAGGCTGGGTGGTCCTCACAGTCGAGTCTGGATGCTATGGAAAAGAAAGCTCTTGCCCCTGCTGCAAATCATACCTGGCTCTTCACCCTGTAGCTTGTTAACTGTATCAACTCAGATATCCTGGCTCTGATAAATGTTATAATTCCTCAAAATGTAATTGGTTTGAATCCTGCCTCCAGATGGATGCCAGAATATTTCTCTGAAATAGGCGACATAATCCATAATCATGCTGTTATTTAGTGACGTAGAATGGGTGTAGTTGAGTGTGTGAAATGGTCCAAGGGAGAAACAAGGTGAGTTACAAATGTTTTGTTCTCTCTGTTTTCAGATTGATGGGTCAACTCTCAAGACTCTGTGTATGCAGCATGGTCCGCTGCAGAGCTTCCACTTGTACCTGAATCACAGCATTGCACTTGCCAAGTACTCCAGCCGCGAGGAAGCCAACAAGGTACTTGTCTGTAGGCTTTTGCACGCATAAATATTTCCTCCTCAGTCTCTGAGACGTCAGTTGTAAAACTATGCGCATGCATGCTCTGAAACTGTGACTATTGCGATTTTGGGTAACCATGAATTGTCAAGTGCTGATGTGTTGCATTGTTATAAATTTTGTAGCAGATTCTGAATAAGTAGTGTATTGTGTGAGTACTGATAATATTTTGATATGGTTATATGAAGTGCTATATACTGTATAAAGTATACAGTTTTAGATTGAACATTTTTATATGATATTCATGGGGGATGGCATTAAACAATGTCTTTGATGTATTGTTCGGTAATATGTAGGACTGGAATGGAATACCAAAGTGAGCAGAGGAAGTTAATAGTACAGAAACGTATGTAATAAACGATGGGACTTCCCCTTGAATTCTTGGCAGGTAATGCACAAGTAATTTTCATATTATTTGCCAGCAACAGATTACCATTGATTTATTGACTGAACTGTTGTGGGTGTCGTCACTCATAGTACACTGGTATCGAGGTGTTGTAGAAAGGATAGTTGCCATTTCATCTTGGTCTGTGTATGTGTTGAATAATTTGAATATTTTTAAGGATAGTAACTTAGATCCATGAATAAAATTTGTCTGACAGCATTATTTGAGAAATTTCCAGGGTCAGCTACTGTTGCACATCTGAGCAGGAGTGATTTTGTTGCACCGCATCCTCACTCCTTCAGGGTTGTGTGTTGCATGAACCTAGCATACCCTGCAAACAATGCTCGAAGTTTCATGAACATACAAATAATTCACTCCAAAATCTGATCCCCCTTTGGAATTCTTCTGTACCTTGAGACATCAGATTTTATTTTAAAAATCCTCTCCATTATTAATTCATGAACCTTTTCACCATGATTACTGAAATATGCATAATGAAAGAGCTCATGCACATACAATTTACCCTTCTACAGCTGCACAATGTTAAAGCATCCAATCCTGCTGATGCCCTGTAGTGTTTTGCATCTAGATGCAGTGATCATAGGTATTACTCCAAACGCTTTTGTTACTGAAGAGAATTAAATGTGTAATTGTAACCAATACTTGTCACTTCACATTTTGTTTTACACGGAAACATTTTCATTAAGAGTGTTCTTCAGGCGTATCTCTGTTTACAGAGTAAGTACTCTTTATTATCCATACTTTTTTTGAGAAGTACTATTTATCTTAATGATCACTTAATATTAGTCCTCTCTTAATCATTGCTCACTTAATATGGGTCTGATCCACATCTTCTAGTGCTTTGTTTGTGCTGTATATCTGCAGCATTATGTAGAGAACTAAATAGGAGATGCCATTTCGAGTCCATTTCTTTTTTGTGTTAAGTTGTGTCTGGATTGAAATTTCTTCCAGGCTCAGGGTGCACTGAACAACTGTGTACTGGGTAACACAACCATCTTTGCTGAGTCTCCAGGAGACAGCGATGTACATTTGATTCTCCAGCACTTGGGTCATGGAGCTCAGCAACAGCCCCCTAGTGGCTCAACTGCTGGTTGGATGCGTGGTGCTTCCAACCCATCTGTAGGTCCTACTGGTGCTTCCAAGGGAACTCCGTCATCTGACACTTGGGCACCAGGTGGCAGTCAGTTGTGGAACCCTAACCCATCATCTAGCTCATTGTGGGGTGCAGCCCCACTGGACACCAGCGGAGACCAGCACCGTGCCACCCCTTCCTCTCTTAACTCCTTCCTACCAGGGGACCTCCTTGGGGGTGAGTCCATGTAAAGCAGGTATGGTAGGAGACTTGCAAACACCAGTATAATACAAAGTACCTAAAGATGTTGCCATTTTGTGAGTCAAAACTCATTGTATGTGATTGTGTCAGGGGATTAGGCTATGGAGCTCGATAGCTATGGTGTCATTATACTAAATAGTACCTAAGGCATTAGATAGGCACACATAGAAAGTGCAATATGGCAGTTACAGACACAGAATGCAACTGCTCAGTTCTGTTGCTGTTTTGTCTTGGAACATAACAGTAATCATAGCAGGAGGTGAGTAAGTAAGTCTGAATAAAGTAAAGAAGGTAATGTGCTTTGCTGTACTAAACGGGTACTTTTCATTTGTAAAATATGAATGTTTGTGTTCAAATTTGTGAAGAAGAACGGAAGAGAGGCAGTTAATGCAAATATATTGAACAGAAACTTACTCCAGGATAAACGACAGTTTTCAAGTGGCAAATCACAAAGCCTGTCAGACTTCTTACAAACCATGGGCTATGTCAGAAAGAATACCAATCCAAAGCAAAGTTTTGGAATATTTGTGACAGTCTCTCGTCTAGTGTGCGAGAGGGTATATCTCCGCACCTGTGATCTCAACTTCCTATGTAAAAATGGCTGCTTTTTCCTGTTTTAATTATGTCATTTAATAATTAAAGGAACTTGGGAAGAGCAAGGCATTTTTTAGTATTTCTTAAAACTAAATCAGACTGCACGTCGAGTATTGAGTAACACAATATATTGTAAAGTAGATATATGAAGTATCTGATGTCCAAAAAGTAACGTGTTCAATTTGTATTTAATAATTTAGAAATCAAAGGATATTTTCATTATAACTCACTTCCATCGTATCACAATGCATCACGAAAATCAACAATAATAAACAAAAACAGGATGAGAAGAGAGAAGGAGAGAGAGAGGTATGGAGTTGGAGAGATACCATGATGGAGTTGGGTGAAACTCAAGAGCTTGCATCCCTGCCGGCCAAAATGGAGTCTCAAGTAATACTTTGCAGTAGAAGAGGAACAAAACATATTGTATTTTCAACTGTGCTGTGACTTCCCAGTGGCTTTGTTTTTATTTTAAAATATGATATGCAGAAACTCAGATTTTTTCTCTCCAGTATAAAATAGCTCTCTCCTCATGAAAGTGAAACTGGTGCAGAGTGTAAGCCAATTAGCCACCAGACCTGCTGCTCTTGGGGGGGGGACAAGTTGTAACATTGAAGCAGGGTTGGTAACAAAAATGGTTCCAAACATTTGATGATGATTCTAGGATCATTCTTTTTAAATGCCAATTGTAGTATATGTAAGTCTAATAATGATAATGTGTATTAGAATCGTGGTAAATGGGATGTAGGTTTTGTGCTTAACTCTTGCGTTTGTACTTTTCCTTCTCAGCCAATCGTGTACCAAATGATAAAATGAACACAAAATAGGTTTTATCTAGTTTTTAAGGCTAAGTTAAGTCAATAGTTTGTAAAGTTTTAAATAAGGTATTTAGGTAATAAGTGAAAAAATTAAAATGGTAAAAAAAAATACAACAAAGTGCATTCTCCTAAGAAAAATGTAGTTGACACAAGATTACATATACACAACACACACATCAATGAGTTATTGCTGCATCCTTAAATAAATGTGATATATAATTATCTATAAGTAACCTGTGCAAACGTGTCAATTTTTGTGAACTGTGTTTAATAAGATGAATGTGTGTGTGTTTTTTTGGGGTGGGCAGGGGCGTTCTTTTTCTTTTTGGATGGTAATGAAGTTGAACATTGGAAGGTCACGTAGGAAGAGTGGATCAGTGATACGTACATAACTTTCCTGGCTGTTTTTCAATGATAAAGAAATATATATAGCTATATATTAACAAGTACATATATATATATCTATTACATATAATACTTTTTTTTTTTAAGAAAGAAGAGTACAAGTGTTCAAGTCAAGTTTTTTTGTGGGGGGGGGTCTCTCGACAGAAAAACCTCTCTCTCGCATTTTGCTCGGGTTTTTGGTGACATTTTACCGAGTTGGCTTAGAGAGCAGGAGGGTTTTCCTGATTGATATATTAAAAAATCCAGTCCATCCTTGCCTTGTTTGCTTTTTAATTGTAGTGTGCAAGTGGATTGAGGGTGTATGGCTGAGATATCATTTTTCGAATGGAATTTGTCTCTTGGAAAATACCTCTGTGACCAAACATATTGTATATATACACACATATATATATATATATGCGGTCTTGTGATGCAGTTAATATGAATTGTTCAAGAAAGTCTGTCTTACATCTATGTCTTTTTATGTGTGGACAAAATTAAATAGTGTTCATTATTTTGAAAAATGAATGATAATGAAAGTTGTTGATATAAACTCTGCAGTGGTGTAGTGGCTCAGCTTTGTAATCTCTCTGAAGTCAAACCAGATGTAGACATAGGAGATCCCAATGAAACGATATGGAAATAGAAACCATTGACTTCCTGGTGGAACATCAGCTGTGTCAAGTTATAACATGTTAATATTTTCCTTACTTTCCAGTATTTTATGATGAAAATGAAAGTGCCACTTGTGTGTGTATGTGTATTAACATGCAGATGTGTTCTTTTTTTATGATCAAGAAGAGAGAATGTGTTACAAAAACATATTTAAAATAAAAAAAAGAGATAGAATATTGTAGTTGAATATGAGCCATATCAATTGTCTAAATATGATTGATAATAATTAAATTAAATGACAAATTTGAAATAACTTTTTTAAAAAAAGTTGAAGTAATATTCTTATGACATACAAAAAGTGAGAAGGTGTGTATAGAACAAAATAAAGATTAAAGTCTGCCAAAATGTTAGATAAAAAGTTGGAAAGAACTCTCTATTTGCATAGTTGGTAGGCATGTATTACTAATAACAGGTGTGTGGGTGTGTGAGGATGCTGTATTGACCAAATCATTTGTGCTCCACAATTTTAGATTTAAAAGAAAATGAAATCCCTAAATGCTGAAGGTTGTTAGATGTGTTGGCCAGCCTTAATAGGGTTTATGATATTTCTTCCAGTGATCTTAAAAGAATAATGTATATTATTATTATTAACTTATAATAACCAGATTAATCACAAGTATCCTTAACTTAAACAAATGTTATATTAGAGTTATTGTGTTGGCTTTTTGCATATATGTGTGGGTGTGTTTAAAAAAAGAGCCTTCCAAATGAAATTGTGCATTACTCTGTTAAATGTAAAATTAATGCTGATTTCTTGAGGATAGCTGGGTTTAGTGGGTTTTAAAAATTAGGTTCATCTTAACTGTACAGATAGTTTTTGTGATATAGTGGGTAATTGTTTGGGTGGTATTTTGTAGGAAAGGTTTCCCTTATCCATACATGCAAAGTTTATTCTTGTTTTTCAGTTATTAGCGTTACTTCTGTTCATGTTTATTATTACTGCTGACTCTGCCCCGCAGTTCTTTTAAATGAACCATAGTTACGCCAAACTGAATGCTGCTGTCAGTCTGCCAACATTACAAGTATTTATAATCGACACATTACTTACTTAGAGGAAGGAAGTTTTGATTCTCACAGTTGGCAGGTCTAATTCTCTTCATGATACATGAATGGGATGTTTCCTACTTTTGTGACATGTTCTGTTACTTCAGATTTTTTTTTTATATACGTTGTGTACAAGTACTAAAATTGATAGCTCAAAACTGAGGTTACAAACATGAGCGTCTTGTCCCAGTAAGTTCCTGGGGCAATACAAAATCGATAGCTCAGAACTGAGGTTACAAACATGAGAGTCTTGTCCCAGTAAGTTCCTGGGGCAATACAAAATCGATAGCTCAAAACTGAGGTTACAAACATGAGCGCCTTGTCCCAGTAAGTTCCTGGGGCAATACAAAATCCAAAATGCACATCAACATAGCATTATCTCCATATAGGCTACAAAGTGTATGCATGTATATTTGCACATGCGTACATACGTACGTACTCATACGTTCTTTCCTAATATATCTCTCTTGAACAGTTTTTAAAATTGTGGTTTGGGATAACTGTAATAATGTACTTGAGAGTTTAAAGTTTTTATTTTGGATTCTTGCATGGTTTGATTGGTATAAAAACTTAAACGTGAACACTAAGTCAGGATGTGTATATATATATATATAGTCGGATTTTATATTATGAGATAGAAGTATATAAGTAACATTTTTTTAATGCATCATGATGGTGAGCAGCACTATATCATCATATTAGTATGAAATGTGTTGTGTTTGTAGAAATGTGTACCAGTTAATATATAACAATGTGTAGTGTTAGTGAGTTGAATGCTCGACCAATCATTTAAGCACAGCAGTTACATGCCAGTCCTGCAAATGAATGGTCATGCAGATGAAATTGTTGAAAATGTTTGTAATTGTTAATGGTATGTAGGAACCGTGTACGGCCACTGCCATTCCGGTTTTGTGTCATTGAACAAGAACTGCATTGTTTCTGCAGTTCAAGATGTGTATCCTTGTTTGTTACTGTAATGTTGACATTGGCAGTACTGTTTTTCTGAACGGCATAGTGATTTGATATTGTTAAGTTGGTAGTGGCACGAACACACTGCATTAACAAGAAGACTGGAGGTTGTTAGTTTAGTTCATATTGTGTTTATACCAAAGATAGGCTTAACAAGGTAAAACGAAATGGATTATGACTTTGAATATTAAAAGTCATTCAGATCTTGTCACTAGAGAATGACACTTGAAAGTTTCTTCCACTTTAAAATTTTTCTCAATTTGAAACAGTATATTTTAAGTGTACTGGAAAGGAAAGATGTCCCATGCTTCTAAAGGGGTTGTGAGTTAAGAGCACAAATTAAGTTATTTTACCATGTTTACTGGTTTTTCTATCCCCCCCCCCCAGTCAAAATGTACACATGGAGTGATGGTTTTGACATTACTAAAATCAAGTGCCTTCGTGTATGTGAGTGAGAGTGCATGATATTCCTTTGATTTCAGTTTGAATTAGAGCAGGGTTAGTGCAATGTGATGTAGGAAGCTTCATTCTAACTGCCGATGTTCAATTCTCAGGTGAAGGTGCTTGTAAATATGTTCCATTGCTTTGTCTGACTTTGTGTGGGGAAATATCACTGTGAATTTATGAGTGTGTAGGAAATTATGTAATTGTTTTATTTATTATGTTTTTCTCTCCCTTTCACAGTTTTGTCATTCTATTTTGTGCCCTTGTTATAGAATGAAGTCACTTGATTCCACAAAACAAAACTGTATATTGTTAATTATTAAGTTACGTATATTTTTGGTGTGGATCTGTATAGAAATTGTGAACAGTAATGTAGCTGTGAAATTATTGCTCATTGACTGAACTTGTGTATAGAAATCACCATTTACTCCAGAATAGAATATTTGTAAGAAGTTGAACTTGGTATCGGTGCTTGGAGTTTGATGATTAGAGACACCGGTTGACACTTGCTTGGAATGGAACTTTGTCTTGAGCAGTGTTTTCTCTTTCTGGAAAAGCTCCACGTCTGGAGCACTGATGGACCCCCTGCATTGCAGCTTGAATTCCCATTACTCTCTGTAAAAAACAGTGTTGAGTGATATTTAATTGTTCCTTTTCTTGTTTCCGAAGACATTAAAGAGAATATGGAATGAGGAATTAGTAACAGATGGGTAGAAAAAGTATTCTTTGCCATGGTTGAAACAGAACTGTGCCTTACGGGTGATAGGAAATATGGTTTGGAGGGGTTGAAAAGGGTGGGGGTGAGGGAGTTACATTATATGTCCCATTTGTGTTTCAAGTCCCTGTACAAAACCTGTGACATTCCGCTGGGTGAGGTCTCGATTTCAGTGCTACAGTGTGGCCTTAAAAAGTCATGACACATTACTTCTCTTGACCATGTCCATCCAGATTTCAATATTGCATAGCTACTTGATTGGTTATCCTAAAAATAAAAATACGAAAATGCGGTTCATGTGAGACCTCAGGGAAAAGTGCAAGAGCCTTTTTGATTGTGCTAGTCAGGGCCAGTTGGATGACAAGTTGTCAGTTATGTGCCTCAATTTTGGAACAGAGAAGCACTGTATTTAATTTGGTTTCCTGTGACAGTGTATTACATGTCAGCCCTAATATTAATTTCCTTACATGGTTTAATTCAATGAAACTTGAGTATTGTAACTACCACTTTTAAGTTTATCAGTACTTTACCAGTCACTACTTAGTACTGAAAACTGTGTTACCGATTTCAGACTTAAAGACAACGGCAAACGCCTGTTGATTTTGCTTGAAAATGGCCAAAACGAGATATCCTACCCTTGGAATTCTGTTACAGCAGAAATTTAATTGGGTGGAGACAAGAAGCTTGCCATCAGGAAAAAGACTAGTAATTTAACATATCACACCAAATCGCCAAGACGAAAAGTATTCTAGTGGCTCTCTAGCCAAGTCTGGTAATGAGATTATTTCAGATGTGAGACAGTGAGATCAAATGCAGTCTTCTGTTGGAGATGTGCGGAATGTCTCGTTTGCTTTTTACGCTTAAAATATATATGTGATGGATTTAGGGGCTCAGCAGCAGCAGCTCCAAAACATGTACTGTAGTACTTCATAAAAATGTGTTCAGAGGTCACAAAGCAGAGTGAGAACTATAGGATGCTATTCTAAAACACCAGTGGACATATGATTGGACATATTTGAATAAGCAAAAAGAATACAAGGTAGAACGAAGTCATCTTAACATATATGACGTAACATTGTGTGCCAGACGCAGTAATGTTATTAAACACTGTATATAAGAGTAATATCCAGGAATGCCTTGTAACTTTCCATTTTGTGATTTTGAACTGTGATGTATTTGATTTAAATCTGTAACATCTTGCCTAGAATTATGCTTTTTTTAAGTGCAGGCTTAACAAAACATTCATAATAAAAGAAATATTGGTTGTGAATTTTTTTTCCCCCCAGATATTTCAGATTTAAATAAAATGCATTATGTGACATTATGTAGCCAAGTTACACCTCTAAATAAGCATTTATCAAATGTACGTAACCATCATGGTTTGCTAATGACAGCCCCTTTTCAATAATAACTGTATTTTGTAACAAATGAAACATAATAGAAAAATATCTGTGTAGAGTTTTGTGAAGATGTAGGTCTAGTGTATGGTGCTTATTGATGTAAGACCTTCCCATGTGATAAGCCATTGCACCAATTGTCTGCCAGCATTAAGAGTTCATGTGGGTTAGGAAAAAAATCATGTGGGTGATGGGTAATGTACCTGAGACATAATTATAGAATCGTTCTTTTTTAAAATAAACATTCTACTGTAATGTAAACCAAATCGCAATTAATGTCAGAATAATGCATCCCAAATTTATTTTATTTTTAAAGACATCATCACAGCTCTCCTGCCTGCCAAGTACAAAAGATTGTTTTTGCTAGATATTTGGCAGCCTCAACCTGCAATACATGCTGACTGTGTTGTTCATTACATGTTCCTTCTATCGTATAGCTTTGATTTAGCTCTGATAATTATTTAATTCTACTTGAATGAAATTTAGTTTCTGTCATGTGTTGTTACACAGTTTATTGTTGCCAAAGTGAATTATTTTTCTGTGTTAGGCTTTTGTAGAAAAGATATTATTTTTCTTGTTCGGTGTTGTTAGGGGAGAGAACTTATTATTATGGCACACATCAACAATCTGGTCAGTCGCCTGCTGTCCTCCAAGTACGTATGGAAACCCACTAGAAATTTGTGCAGGCCCGATTTGGATTTTCAAAATAATTTTTGGCTGTGGGTATGTTGAAAGATATTGCATAGAGCAGTATTGTATGTCATAAGATTTTATGTTCTGTGAAACTTATCAACTTGGTGACCCATCTTGTTTATAGAGGTGGATTCACATTTTTTTGCTTTAGCATTGCACTTGAATAGCAGATCGAAGAGTTCCGTCTTTTAGGAAATAACACCATATAGTTCAGTGAAAGTTGACTGACATTTCAGAGGGACGTAACACCTCCATCTTCTGGGCTGAAGTATAAATTAGACAAGCAGCACAAAGAGTAAGTTGCTTGTGGAAAATTGGGAATTTTATGTATAAGTAGGCAGGAACCTTAAAGAAAATGTCTATTGTCATTGCCACTAGCAGAACAGTAGGGTGAACCAACAGGAGATGAGAGTCAATAGGTAGAATTCTGAAAAGAGCCAGAGGTGCAGGTATGGTGAGCAGAGAACAAATTTTCAGGGCTCACACTGGTTACACTTCTCTTGTCTGCTGTCGGATCACCCAGTTACTCAGAGCCATTGGGAACTTAAATGTTGGCTTACAGTTTCCCTTATTTTTGCATAAACTCAGGTTTTCTACAGGTGATTTGCTGTGCTTGCTGTCTGCTTCATGTTGGTTGCTTGGATTATTCTGCAGCCCTGAAAATGAAGGTGGTATGTTCCTCTGAAACATTAACCTGTGGACTTTCACCATGCTACACAGTGTTACATCCCAGAAGATGAACTCTTCATAACCAATGGTGTGAGAACTACAGATCCCTCAAGTTTCAAATTGTCTTCCAGTTTAACATGATTTTGCAAATTTATATAGACTGCTGGTCTAACCTGTTCAATTGTTTGAAGAAATTTCATTACTCGCCAGTTCTGTGTGAAGCCCTTATTGAGCAATGTATCTTCTGATAATTTAAAGTGCATAGTAGCGGCGTCTGGCTGGTGACACGTCATAATTATGAGTTAGGTGCTCCCCGTGATCTGAAGGAGCTATTCGAGAATGTAGCACATCATACATTGATATTGCTGAGGGGGGGACTTGCCCTGCAAAGTGGGCATTGCAAGGTGTGGCTTCTTCCTCTGATTTGTGCTGCACTCTGTCATCTGAATTTGTAGGGATCAGTATTTAGGACTATCTCACTTTTGTTTAGCACTTTGTCAAAGAGACTCCAATCAAGTAGGAGTGTATACACACTTCCATGTAATATACACACAATATTACCTATTGAAGCGCTTTGTAGATGTAGAACAACTTGTAAGCTATTGGTGCTGTCAATTCATTGTTTCTTTTATCAATATTATTAATTATATTCTGTGTCATGGGTAAGTTCCTCATTTTTCCAGTGGGGTTTCAATGTTGTTATTCCTTATTGTTTAGATATTGATGCTGATATGAGCTTTCTTTTGTTTTCTTATTATGCAGTGTTACTTCCCCCTCCCACTCTTTTAAGACAGATACAGTTGGGCATTTAGTTGAAAACAAATTCTAGGAATCTCAAAAATCAAAATTTCCTCTGTGTAGGTCATCACAGGGTCACACTCTTGTGGCCGTGTTTTCTGAAACGCACCTTTATGCGTTTTCAAGTGCCAAACACTTTTATTTTGTAGTTATGTCACATAACATGTTGTATTTAAAAATGTTTTAATTTTTAAAAAAGATATATATTATGTGTTGCACTCTGCCCATAATGTAGCTGGGAGAGATTTTACCATTTTAGTATATAATATATATATAAATATATTTTTTTTGGAGCTATGCAAATTTAACATCTCTGACAATCGTATTAGTGTACTATTCCATTATTACTATTATTATTTTTATTTATGTTTGGATATAAAGTAAATACCATTTTTTATATATTGTAATTCCAGTTTCCAGACTTAACCTTTAGTATTTCTTATGAAAACATAGCAGTATTGGAATTTAATTGTATCATAATGAAATGAAAATTTACCATAGCAGACTGACCTCTGACAGCTTCTTTCCATGTCAGTACAGATTCCAAAATTTATGGCGACTGTTGTGATGTTTCATATCTTTCATAGCATTGCTTGTAGTGGAAGTCCTTGCTCTGTGGTTTGTAGTGCTGCAAAATGTCATTGCAATAGCATTTGGATTGCATGATGTATCAGGCAAGATACCCAATATGTAGTGTGGATTTTAACCCCTTCCTCCCACATTATGTTCATATTCTAAGTATTTGCTCATAGGTCAAACTGTGTTCAAAACATAACTTGTTGTCTGGGTGATAGCCGGGACATTTAGTATATAGGGGCAATAGACGGCATCAAATTTTGTACAGTGGTTCTGGACCTCTCTGCTGATATCCCTGATACGGAATTTCCCCTGCTGTTGCATAATATTATTATGTATTTGTATTCATTGTAGTAATATCAACATACTAATTCTGTCGGCTTATAAGTATGGTGTATTACTAAATATAAAGTATAGATATTTCTGATGTTGTGTTTTTGATGTAGAAATAGCAGTAATTAATATATGAGGTGAAACTAATATAAACCATGCAAGACTCCATGTCACTGAGTTCTTTGTTGCAGTGTTTGTTTCAGTATAAATGTTTGCTGGTCATGAAAAATCGGGATTCCAGTTGATTTTTCATTACATTTTGAGTTGCTTATGGATAAGTTCCATTGTCATTGATTCAGTTTTTTTATCTCCGAGTTTGGACAGTATAATTCCCTTATGAGTCAACATGTTGCTCAGGGTAATGTAAAGCTTTCATGTGATCTGTTTAAGGGGAAGCATTTCAGTTTTTATTTCCGGAGGTGTGTGTAATACCCAAAAGCATTGAGTTTGACAGTGGTACTTTTTATTTCAGTAGTAGTACAGCATTAAGTACTGTGTAATATTGTGGGCTTCTTGTTAATGGGGGGGGATAGCAAGAGAATATAAGTAAAAATTATACATATATGCAAATTATGTAGAATGGTGTACATTGTGTGTATTATCCCAATATAGACTAGTACTAGAGGTACAATGTTTTGAACAAATGCAAAAAGAAAACAAAACAATAAACATCACACATTTCTGAATCCACTCTGTGTTCCACAATTTATATAATGATGAATAATTGTATGTAATCTCATGATTGTTGTATGGACAGTTGGCATGACCACAGCACAGTATAATATCATCATCATCATGGATATGAAGTAACATATGCTAAATACAACTTGACGAGGCCTAACTGGTGTGTGTCTTTTTGGTTTCTCACATCAAGAGTTCGCACTTAATGCAGGGTGAACAAAACATTTACATTAAGTTGACTAGAAGTGTTTTTCTTTTTTTTCCTTGATGTTAATCACATGGAAAGTTACTGTTTTAATTGGCAAATGCTTGCTGTGCCAGTAACCATGGAATTGTTGCTTCTACTGTAGAACTTCGATTTCTACATACAGGATAGAATTACAAATTGTACTTAATTTTAACATACAAGTTAAATGGCTTTTAAATTGCAACTTTTATACACATCTTACAATTGGAGAATACTTGTGTGATTCTGTGATTGTATTATCACTGGACATATCTTAATGAAACATGAGATGACAGAATCACTGTTTCAGAATATTTATGCTGCAGTTTGTCCATGTTTGCTCACAAGATGACAATACCACTTTTCTGCCTTTCACTATTGAAACTTTCTTTTTGAGATTTGTCTGACATACATACTGAAATGCAAGAAGCTCAGATTCACAAGAAATAGTTGTATGCAGCACAGTGTAACAACTGTGTGAGAGGAACATATCTGAACATGAAGATTAAGAGGAATAGAAGCATTCATTTTCCATAAATTACTGACATTTTAACTGAACATATCTATAAGTTAGAAGGTTTTCATGATGGTGAGTGTTCATATTGTGGTCTTCTGGGCTCTCTTACTGTGTAGCCATCGAAGTGAATGTCTGTGTTCTGGGGAGGCAGCGTATTCCTCTAAGATGTTTGGTGTTGACTTTGAGTGCAGAAGACCACAATCTGGATGTACTAATCTTGAGTGCAGTAAATTGCGTTCTTTTTATATTTTTACAGAGAATAATACTGTAAGAGGTAATTTGAATAAAGGTGTGACTTATTTTATGTAAGGGAAGGAAACTAAATTGGAATTTCATCTTATTCCTTGAACTGTCAAAGAGAAGTCTTTCTATAGAATCTTTGGACTGAGCAATTACTAGTTAACTTGCACAATTTGCTACAGGTTTTGGTATGCTAATATTCTGTTCTTCTGAATTTTGGCCATTAATTTCAGTTTATATTATGTACAGTCACTTCTCATTTTATGTGGTTTTGGTGTAAAAGTACTGAAGGATATGCAGCACTTTTTAGTTTATGTGATTAAATTCTACTTCACACAATTTTGCGATCAAAAACAGGTTGCCTGTATATGGCTGTGGACTGAGATGATACAAAATCTGAAATAAAATAACTAAGCAAAAAAATGTATATGAATCATTGTGTGTAATCTCCAAGTTGGCTTGGCCTGTGTATGGAACCCCCGTTTTCTTTTATACAGAAAATTGGCTCTTGATTCATGTTATGTTTAAAAAATGCATCTACCATGTCAACTGGGAAGTGACTGTAATGTGAACATTATAATAAAAAACAGGAAGTTGGTCATAGTTGGTAGCAGTGTTCATGAAATGACTACCTCCTGGTGTGGCTGAATGGCTAGGAAAGTGGCACTCATGCAGCAGAATTCATAGGTTAATCTATTTGGATGTGTCATTGTGAACATCTGTCGGTGTAAGGCTTTGGAAAGCAATGAATGTACAAATTATGTGAGAGTTACATTAAACCATTGTAAGGTCTGAGACATGCAAGCTTTTGTCACCAAGTGGTAGACATCTGTCATGCAAGTGCATTGATTGAGCTACCATGCTAAAAGCATGTAGGATCTACTCATGAAACACTGTTCCATGGAACTAGTCATACCCATAGTTTTCTGTGTTAACAAGTGATGTGTCATTTTGACTGTTCTGTCTGCATTAATACTCAGTTTATGTTTATGTGTAACTGTAGAACAGATTATTTCTTGTAGTGATGTCACAGAAAGCTGCTTGCCATGATCCCTGTACTTAATTCAGGCCTGTCAGTGGCAACAATTCCTTGGCTGTTTGTCTTTTATCATGGCTGACCTTTATCTGTAATAAAAAGAGGTCAGAGAAACATGTTGTGCCTATACAAAATATAAGACAAAACTACCCTCCCCCTTCACCCCAGGAAAGGAAATACTTTGGTACATGATGGAGTTTGTCATTCTGATGGTATATTCGTTTGTTGGAGAATTTTGGGTTGTACTGAGGAGTGAGGTGATGTAGAACAATGATGGTGGTAAAGTATCTTGACAAAAACAATCAAAGGTTCCTTTTTTTAATGCTCCATGGTGGACAAGCAGATTAATAATGTCAGTATTCTGTAAAAAAAGTTACAAACATGGTTGTGTTTTGTTGCTTAGTTTGTGGAGCTATTCCTATAACTGCTGCAGGAAGATGAGGTATGTTGGCAATAGTATTTGTTACTGTATATTCTGAATCATAGCTGTAAACTTCCATTGAGGAAATAAAACAGTGAAGTTTATTTTGGGAGTTCGAATAAGAGTTTAGGGGACCAGGGTTGGTAAGCCAAAATGATAATGGTGATAAAATGATTTTTTTTTAATATTAAGAATGAAAATACATATTACATGGTTTTTTGTCTTCAAAATATTCTTGTTTTCACTATTGTACATTGCATCTATTGTGGTCGATTAGCAAGTGCTTTTAAACCATTTATTTATACCATCCTTAATGTAAAAGACCAGTATACATTCAATAAAGGTTGTCCTCAGTGTCTCCCTGTTGTGAAATCAGTTGTAATACCATGGCCATTTTAAGGCAGTGTTGGGGTCCATATGGTTCTGGGGCCTCCCTGTCTTCAATTTTTTTTAAATACTCTTACAGCCTGATAGTAATCCTCTTCTGTTTGTACATATCTTATAACATGGGCAAAAATGTTTGCAGATACTATAATCTTGGGATGGCTGGAAATTTTGTGGAAAGTAAGGCTTGTTAGGTGAGGGTTATGAGCAGCTGTCTGCATTTCCCATTGGCTAATGCGGCTTTGCATATAATGCTTGATCCATTTCAGTATGAAGATCGGAAAATTGAAAATGAAAGGACATTGAGACATGCAAGATACTTCACCTTAGTATTGTGTCCAACACCACCAATTTTTGGGAAACTGGGTTTGAAGTTACAGAATTGGCTGCATTTTAAATGTGACTAAGAGTGGAACATTCTGGAATCTCAGTTGCAAGTGAGATAAACCTATGGAAGTTTGTGGAGAGCACAACACAACACTGAGAATCAAAAGTGCATTATCTCGTTTTCACACAAAACTGGAGACAGAATATTCCATTACTCAGGCAATGATTTATGCATGACTTCACTGCTGTTAGCTGGATCTGTTAAATTATTTCTTCCCATTTTACTTCCTGATTTTTTCTGTGTTGGCATTTATGCTGTTACCTGTTAAACCAAGCATTTAATAACTTAAGGTACAGGTGAACTGAGCCTCTAACAGAAATGAGTACCAGGAATCTTCCTGGGGGTAAAGGGCAGCCAGCCATCTGTGAGCCGATTGTCTAGAAAATATGGGAGCCTGAACGTCTTTACCTTTTTTACAGATTGGGAGTAGTCTTGGGTTCAGTTCAGAAGCTAGACATCTTTTTGATATATTGTGATCTATTGGAAGTGACGAGATAATTGGTGCTGACCAAATGTTTGGGATAGGTACTGAGAAACAAAGTTTGCGTTTTTTTTATTCGCTTAGTGGGGGGTGGAGTCCAACTGGGTCCGCTTGGCATGGCAACCATTGATTGGCCTATTGTAGCCTGCCCCGGGTGATTCTGATAATGGAGAATTTGGTGGAATGAAGATTGGCAGGGGAAACCGAAGTACTCTGAGAAAACCCACCCCAGCGACTAACCGCTTGAGCTATGGCGTGGCCCAAGTTTGCATTTAATGTTAATTATGCTTCATATATCAGCACACTTACTAGTCAGCATTTCCCAGCCATTTGAACTCTGGAAGTCTGAGCAACATTTCCCTGCCCAGCACACCTGGCAACGTTTTACCGACATTTTCTGATATATTACAGAGGGTTGTCTGTGTTCAAAAACTACCCCTGCCAGAGGAGGGACAACCTTGCTGACAGAAAGGGACTAACTATTAGATACCACTGCCAGTAAGAGGTTGGAACCTCGCTGGCAGAAAGGGACTGATAGTAAGCACCAGTACCGGTAGGGTATGGAGACAGTAGAAATTAAAGGGGGACGCACAGTGGACCAGTAACCGGTCTAAGTGCATGGGGAAAACCACCCCCTCAATACGGAATACGGAAATGTTCAAAAACTGCCTGATAGATTTTAGCTCCTAGGATTATATGTAGATTGAGGGTCCTGAGAGGGATGAAGTAACGTAATGAGCTTTGTAATTGTTACCAAATATTATTGGGGCACTATGCTACAAGCCGGAAGGTCACAGGTTCAAGTCCCGATGGGGTCATTGGATTTGAATTGACCTAATCCTTGTGGCTGCACTATTGCCCCGGAGTTGACTCAACCTCTATCAGAAATGAGTACCAGGAATTAAATAATTTTTCTGGGGAGTAAAGTGAGGCCGGCACGTAAGGCTGACAACCTTACTGCCATCTTTGAGCCAATTGTCTAGATAATGTGGGACCCTCAACATCTCACAATCCTATGGGCCTTCACGGCCTGTTACAGGGGTAGGTTTTTTCCTNTTCCCTAGGATGATCAAATAAAAGATGAGCTCTGGGTGGGACATGGTGGAGAAAATGCATGCGAAGTTTTGGTAGAAGAACCTGAAAGAGACCACTCAGAAAATCCAAGATGCCAGAGTTATGTTAAAATGGATCTTGTCTGGCTTAGGAAAGGGACGGTTGAAGGCCCCTGTGAACACATTTTATTCTCAGAATTTAGTTCAAAATTTGTAAATACTGAGCAGCTTGAAAATATATAATACTGCTTCGATGAGATGTGCTAGGTAGACACAGATCATGTTATTTTATGGACTGAATCTACGGTCCTATTTTAATGTCTGTAGAGTTCATGATTGTGGCTTGCATAAACGAGACGTATGTTACTAAGGCACAGTCAACAGAATGTGCCATAACACTTGTATAGTGCGGTTGTATTTATATGTGAGGATACAATCCTGAAGACCTTGCATAATTCATGACAAGTCTTGAGATGCGTGATTTTTGCCCCCTTTTTTTTTCTAAGATTCGCGTATTTAAAGTTGTCATAAAGTGCGAGCTCACCCTATTCGTGAGTATCATAGGCTGTACAAAAGATTTTGTCTCAGCAACTTGTTCACTAAATAACAATGTCTGGAGCGCAGATTTCTGTAAATCAGTTTTACCTAGCATAAATAACAAATTCATACCATAATGTAGTACACAGAATTCTTTTCTTCTGGATCTTGTAGATCGCATTAAATGGAGGAATTGTTTTGGAAGAGACTGTGGGGACCTGTCGTCTTGACAGATTACTGATGATGATTCCTTTTTAATGGTTTAGCTACAACAGAGTGATACTGATGAGAAAAACAACCTTAGCTCATTAGACATACTCTCAAAGGTGACGATGCTGCGAAGTCTGGTGCAAAGTTACCAGTGTTTTCTATGAACCTGCTGCCTCCACCTTCAGGGTACTTACCTTTTAGATGAAGATAAGAAGCTCAGTATACTCCAGACTACTATGGTCACATCCAAGAAAACAATCTTCATATCCATTGCTATGAGAATGTCAGATCTCGAAAGTGCCCTTTTGCTTGCACACATGACTCACTGTCGGGCAGTAACAAGCAGACCTAGGTGTCAAAATGTATCCATCCAATTACAGAACTATTTTTGTGACTTCAGAAAAGCCCCTATCCAGGTCAAAACTAAAAATAATTTCCCACTGCTGACCAGACATTTCATTTCTGGATAGGAGAGCTGAAAAGATAACAGAAATTATACCTCTGGCAAGTGCAACAGATACGTGACCAGACACATGATGAAAGTTGGCTGAAATGTTAAACACTCCCTCCTTTTGCTTGGGAGGTGCACAGTTTCAATCTCAGCCAGCACACAAATTATCCTCACTGATCTTTTTCATACTCATCCTCAGTCCCTCCATATAAATGCTGGGAAAGTAAACTTAAAATTAGGCCACAGCTACTTCCTTGACATCTTTTCTAGTTCTTTGAAGAAAGTATACATAAACAAATCATGGTGAAAATGTACAGATCGAAGCAGCTTTTCTCTCTTTCACCTCACAGTAAGTATCATGCAGGGCCACGCCATAGCTCAAGTGGTTAGTCACGGGCTTCCCACCTTGGGAGCCCGGGTTCAATCCCGGGTCTGGTCAAATGGCGCTGGGGCGGGTTTCCTCAGAGTACTTCGGTTTCCCCTGCCAATCTTCATTCCACAAAATTCTCCATCATAATCATCCGGGGCAAGCTACAATAGGCCAATCAGTGGCCGCCATGCCGAGTGGACCCAGTTGGACTCCACCCCCCACTAAGCGAATTAAAAAAAAGTATCATGCAGGGTAGAGAAAACTTTATAATCCTACTACCAAATAACAAATACCGGGCAATAATGATATGCACATTTAATTAATATTTGTATGTTTACAGTACTGATATGTGTATGAATTTCAACACCAGAGATACACCAAATCATCCATATTATTTATACATTATGTACACACAACAAGTAAAACCTGACTAATACAAATTTACACAATTTACTATTATAATTAACAATTTGTGAGAACTCCCATTTGTTGTAGGCACAGTGTGAGTCTTTCTAAAGTTAAATAAATTAAAAGCATGGATGAAAATAACGTTCTTATTCAGCTGCAAACCAAAAATGTTACATGTAAGCCACAGGTTTCAATGGTGGTAACTACGGAGATTATTGCCTTCTGGGAGTGAGAACGTGGTATATATTTGAAACATTTTTGTAGAATCTGTTGCCTCCATCTTCAAGGTAGGAGTGAACTAATGGGCATGGGATACACTGTACAGCAATTTTAGGGCCAAAGGATCCAATTTAGTTTACAGTGGTTCACTCTTGGCATCTTCCTCTGGTTCCCATTCAGTATACACAGCTCCTCTTGGCTTCTTTCTGCCTACAAGTGTGGCCCCATTTTAGCGCATCAGGATTTAATTTTCTGCACAGTGGTTCATGCTTAGTTCCACTCCCTCTCCTTGCCCCATTAACACTGACCATTTTTTCCCAAATGGCTTATTTTCCAACCCTGAGAATGGAGGCAGCGGGTTCCTTAAAAATGTTGGTAAATATCTACCAGACTATATGGCATCACATTTCTGAAGACAGTAATATTCAATGCTGTTAAACTCTGAGCACAAAATAGTTTGTCATTGCGGGATATCGATCACAAAGACCCATACTGAGGCCAACCAGTGCCATATGTACTGTTAATGTGTCGCAGTATTTACTCCTAGACAGCCTCTTTCTTTGTCTCAAGATCCATTACAGTACAAACTTTCAAAGTTGTTTAAATCCAGAGCTATCAAATGGACAACAAGTTAAGTTCTGTGAAATCCCTATTTAAGATTTATCAGGGGAACAGTGGATTTGAATTCTGAAATGGAGATTACTGACTTGGGATCACTGATACTGAACAATAATGCATATGAGATAACTAGATGGAAGATGTGAAGTTTTTAAGAGCAGATCTTCATATTTTGGACTTCTGAGCTATAACACTCCCCCCATAGGTGTCTCCACCTTGTCGTGATAGTGGGGCTTGGTG